CGGCTTCCCTCAATTAAGCCACCAGAACTCCGTAACCAGCTTGTTGTTATGTGACTTCGATGTGCCTGCGACTCACAGCAACCCTATTTCCTGACCCAATCTCACTGTCTTCGACACACCTGCCCCCCTTACCCCAGTTACTGTGCTGATCCATCTCATCGGTCTTCTTCTCCTTCGCCGTCCCTCCATCCTTCTATGCATTATATCCGTTTTTTGGATGTGAGGGGCTCCAGGCTGTGACATCTGTCATCTCATTGATTGCCAGGGTTGATTCGGTTGATCTGGCTGGTTAGGCAAGTGTCCCCTTCCTCCCCCACCGATCTGTGTGCGTCCCTCCCAAAGCTGCGTGCTCGGTTGAAGAGGACAACCATACCCTATAGAAGGAAGACCATCCTTTGGTCAAGGGTATACGAGTAGCAGCACGTCCCTGCTAGAACCTCCAAACAACCTCTAAGCATCGTATCCTTTTTATTTTTTTTAAATTTTATTATTTGTGTGTGTGTGTGTGTGTGTGTGTGTGTGTGTGTGTGTGTGTGTGTATGTGTACCGTCAAATAAGATCTGACTGGTACAGGAGGAGATTGTCCCTCCTTCCTCAGCAGAGCATCTGGTGGATTCAAACTGTGTGCCTCTGGGATTGCAGGGCAGCTTCTTGCCACTAGGCCACCAGAGCTCCCCTCGTATCCTTTTTCAAGGACAGGTCCCTCCCGGCCATGTGCTCAAAGTTTGTAAGATGGAACTTCAAAATCCTTGCCTCCAAGGAGCAGCCTGGTTTCTCCCTCATTTTACCCTCTCAAGGACAGACCTGTTTGTTCTCTTGGCAGTCCATGGTATGTTCAATGCTCTTCTCCAACACTCCAGCCAGGAATTCCAAAACAAACATGGTGTTTCTTCCCATTAGTACCCACTAGTTTCCAAGAACCATTATGAAGTAGAATTCTTCTCAAAGTTTATTGCAGCTGGGCTCAGCAAGGGGAGTAGCCCTGAGGCCTGGGCTTAGGGGGCTTATAAGGGGTTTTAGTAAGTGTGTTTTAGGAGGCTGTGAGATGAGTTGACCTTGTAGTAGCTTGTTGGTGCATAAAGTTTATGGTTTTGGAAAAGGTTCTAATATGGGAATCTCTGAGTTCTGGTTTTGGAAAATATCCTGATACAGGGTTTTCTGAGTTCTGGTTTCAGAAAATGTCCGGACATAGATATATTTCTGAGTTGAGCTTCAACCTCCATTTTTATTTTTAGCCTAACAGCTTATATCCCAGGGTTATTGGTTAAGTGTGGGTCCATATCCAACCCTGAACCAATCCCTGTTGGCATCGGGATGGAATGTTGTGATTGGCCGGACCCGAAACAGCTTCGAGTTGAACCAAACAACAACAACGACAAAACCCTACCCACTGTCTTGGGCAACTGTTTCCTATGGACCCTGTAGGACAGTGGACCCACTCATTGGACTTCTGAGCAGCAGTCTTTACAGAAAGAGATGGCCTCATCTCTCTCGTATGGAGTGGCTGTAGGTTCCAACTGGCAACCATCTGGGGGTTTCTCGTGGGAAAATTCTGGGAAGGAATTGTGCTGCCAACACAAAGGTAAACGCTGTTCGAATCCACCAACTTCTCAGTGTAATAAAGATAGATAGACAGACAGACAGACAGATAGGGGATAATCTCCTCCTGTATGATTTAGCTTCTCTGAAACTCTGCTGGAGGGTCAGCCATGGGTTGATTCTGACTGGAAGGTGTTGTTGATTTGAGCTCGACTCAGCGATCCTATGAACAAAAGACCTGAAGTCTTTCTATCACTATCGTCATTTCTCAAAATTCATAGAGTTTCCAGAGGCATGTTGTTTAGTAAGTGGATGCCACTCCCGCTGCCAGGACTGGAAGGTACACAACAATAACAACACAGGGAAACTAGAGTGTGGAGAGGGGACTACTTCTGAAGGGACAGTGAAAGGTTGCTGGGCAGGGAAATGTTTGGGGTCTGCTTCCCAGCTCCACTAGGAAAGCTCTTGGTCCTAAGCACCTGCCTCTTCGGTGAAGTGCCGCCTCTGGGACTCCTTGACCTGGTCTTTTGTCAACAAACAAGGTGCTCAGAAAGGCAGGTGCCTCAGGGGAGAGCTGAGCATCAAACCCCAGCTGTGTCCCAGGATTTGCCTCCTGCTGGACTCACTCCTGTCCCCAGAAAACAGTAAGGAGAGGCCCAGTCACTAACAGGCCAGGAGAGGAAGGCCTGGAGGGAGGTCCTTCTGGAAGAAGTGTTCCTCAATCACTGGTCAGGCCAGTGCTTGCAAAAGTTGCAAAGCAAGTTGCAAAACCTGGTGGTCCTGGACTTCCAACTGGGTCCCCAAACAAACAGCAAACATACAATTCCATGGCCATGAAGTCAATTCTGACTTCCTGTAGGCCAGAACAGCACTGCCCCAAGGGAGTTCCAAAGTACTAAATCTTCACAGCCATAGACCGCAGCTCTTTCTCCTACAGAGGGGCTAGTGGGTTCCTTTTGGTTAGTAGCTGGATGTCTTCACCAGTCTCCAAAGCTCCATTCGTTCTAGCCCTGTTCTTGTGATGTGTCAACTACGACTCATCGGGAACCTGAGACTCAACAGAAACCGAACCTGGCCCTCGGTTGGTAAAAATCCGACAAAGAGAGCTTGTGTTTGCCGTTGACTCTGAACTGACTCATAGCTTACCCTCCAGAGGGTTTTCAGCGGCTGGATTCGAACAGCATGCCTTTGGGATTGCATGCAGCTTCTTTGTCATGAGGTCACCAGAGCTCCCTACAAAGAGATCTATAATGTGTTACAGGAGGCCCCTGGGTGGAGTGGCAAATTGTGCTCCATGCTTGAGTTTATTTTCCATAAAAACGAGGATAATACTGCCTCCTTCTCAGGATTCTGGTAAAGAGTTAACTAAACAAATAAAGTGCTCAGGAAAACTGCCAATTCATAATTAGTTGTTTTTGGTAACTGGGCCAAGCCCCTTCACCACCCGTCATGCCTCAGTTTCTAAACGTTTAGGGGGCAAAGAAGTACTGTGTAGCGTATTTGAGATAACTTACAGGAGCACTTAGCGCATAGGTAAGTGTTTATTAATACTATTATTATCAGGACTGGAACTCGGGTCAGTTAAGTCTCTATGGGAGGTTCTTTGTTGCTAGAGCAAGAGGTCCCCAAGCACGTCCCCCCAGTCTTGAGTGAGGCTTTAGCAGCTCGGTGGCACCTTGCACTGCCCCCACATCCTGGCCTTCACCCCACCACCCCGCCCCGCCTGCTCCCCAGGCAGCCAGAGGAATGTGAAGAGGTAGGTGGGGGTGGGGAGGAGCGGGAGCCGCGGGGAAGAGACAAAGGGGCCGAGTCAGACGAGCGAGAGGCACAAAGAGGCAAGCGACGCTGGGAGGCTGGAGAGATAGGAGAAGTGGGACAAGGACACCGGGAGGGAGCGGCGGGACAGGAGGCCGGACCCGAGCCCAGCAACACACTCCGCAGCTGGGCCTGCGGGGCGCGCGGCCGGTCTGTGCTGCCCCCTGGCGGGCGGCTGCGGTACGGAGGCGGCGCGGACCACCGTGGGAGCGGACGGGGAGGCAGCGAGGGCGGGGGAGACATAGACATCGAAAGAGATGCGGCGACAGAAAGAAGAGATAGAGACACCGAAATAGCCAGGGCCAGAGAGAATCACAAAGACACAAGGAGAGAGAGAGACACTAAAGAGGCAATGTCAAAGGGGTGCAAAAGACAACAGGGGCCATGCCACATGAAACGGACTCCAGGAACAGAGGGAAGCCCACTAGCAAGCACACAGAGACACCAAGAGAGGCAGAGATAAATCTAGAAAGAAATGACGCAGCGCCACCAGGAGTCCGAGAAGTCCTGAGATTAAACAGAGACCACATAGACGCTGACAGCTGCCCCCAGAGGCGGGGAGAGGGGTGAGAACAGGGTCAGCCTCGCCGTGGGGGCGGGGCCCAGAGGGCACCACGAGAACCTCGTGCCTCACGCAGGTGCGAGGGAGTGAGGGCGGAGGCGGATGCTGCGGGGGAGGGCTAGAATTTTCGACCCTTGTTAGTGGGCACGTGGGAGTGTGCTTCTAGCACAGAGTGGGGGGCGTGGCCGACGCGGGGGCGGAGCGAGCTGGGACGGCCTATCAGAGCCTTTAGCGGGGCCGGGCATTGCTGTGGGCGGGGCATAAGGCCTTTCTCGGGTGCAAAGGGAGTGGGCGTGGTTAGAACACCTTAGGGGAGGGAATAACTTTCTGAAGGGGCCGGGCTTTAACGCCAAGTGAAGACAAGGTTAGAAGAGGTTGAGAGTATAGAAGGGGCGGGGCCAGAACTTAGTGGGGCGGGGTCAAGAGTGGGGAAAGGGCAGGTGTAGAAACCTTGGAGGGGCGGGGCCAAAGGCCTGGGCAGGGCTTGGTCCCTCTAGAGGCGTGTCCAGGATCCCAGGAGAGGGCTGATAATTTCGGGAGGGGGCGGGTCCAGAATCCAGGGAAGAGGGGATATAGAATTCCGTGAGGGGCTGGAGTCAGACTCTCGGTAGGGGGCGTGGTCAGGATCCGGGAAGCGGTGGGGACTGCATTAAGATCCGGGGAAAAAGCAGGCGTAGAAACCCCGGAGGGGGTGTGGCCAGGATCCCGGGAGTGGGCGTAGCCAAGGTCCAGGCAGAGGGTTGACTAGTTGAATCTCGGGAGGGGGCGGGGTCAGAATCCTGGGCGGTGGCGCGGGGGGAAATCTGGGGGAAGAGCCTGGCGGAGAATCCCGGGAGGGGGCGTGGGCGGGGCCGGAGCCCAGGGTCCACTCGGCGGGGCGGAGAGCAAAGGGGTGGGTACAGTGACGTCAACGAACGGCCGAAGCGGAGCCTGGGGCCGGGGCCGCGGAGACGGGAAGGTTGAGCGCGCCTTGACCGGCCTGGAGCCGGAGCTCCTAAGGCACCTGCTTCCCCGCCCACCGAACCGGCGCTCGCATAGTGGCCCGTGGTCCCCTTCCAGGGTCCAGTACCTTCCCGGGCCCTCCATGGCCCGGGCCGCAGCCCTCCCGCCGTCGAAATTGTCGCCACCGCTCCTACTGTTGCTGCTGCTGCTATTACATTTCTGGGAAACCGGTGAGAGCGCCGTCGGCCGCGGAGACCCTCCCCCATCCTTCACTCTTCGCTCTCCCCACCCCCCTCCCCAGACCCCTCTCTCGGGCCCCCTGCCAGTATACTCCTTGCTTAGCTTTCCGCTCCCCCACATTCTTAATCCTAACTTCGGGCCCTCCTCTCCCCCTTCCTCCGATCCCGCCTCCGGAAGGGTTAAATCTTAGGTCGGCCGGAGGCCCCGCGCCCCCTCCCCACCCCGCGCCGATCCGTTTACCCGGGTCTGGGTTTCTGTCTCCGCTTCCCCACTCTGGAATGTAGGGAATGTGCCTCCCGCCCCCCGCCGGAGGGTCGCGAGGATGAGGCGAGACCACCCCCCCCTTTTCTTTTCTCCCAGGCTGAGCGTCTGAGGCCCTTAGAGGGTCGAGGTTAGGGAGCCTGATGGCGAACCCCAAGAGCAAGGGCGGCGAGTTTGACTTGAGGTCTTCGGGAGGGTCTAAGGAGAGAGTTCGGGCGACCTAGAGGAAGGAGGGTGAAGGGACACCCAACCCCAGGTTTCAAAGAACTGAGGGCGCCGAGCAAGAGATCTAAGGGTCCAGAAAAATTCGGGGCCAAGGTCTCTTGTCTCCTAGGGTCCAGGTGGAATGATGAGCGTCCAGGTGGAATGATGAGCGGGGTTTCTGTTTAATGGGATACAGACCAGGTTGAACGGGGGGCAGAGGGGCTCATAGTCGTGAGCTCCAGACTTCCTTGTCCTGGGGGAGGGGGTGTTGTTTACTGGGGTCCAGGATAACTGGAGTTAAAGGGTTTCGATCGTGCGGAGTCCAGGTTTGCTGGTGGGTAGGGAATTCTCTTGGCTTTTCGACGAATATGGAGGGTCTCTCCGTCCTGGGCTTGGGATTTTATTGGGGGCAGGACTCTGATCCGAGATCCTAATATAACTGTGGGCAAGGACTCAGTCGCTGGCTCCTAGGTCGGGCAGGGAGACCGGAGCTGGGGAGCCCTTTCCGAAAACCCAGTGTGAGCGGGCGGCGGGGACGTCCCCCGGGAACTTTTCCCGGTTTCACTTTCGACGAGCCGGTTGCAGGTTCCTGATCCAGGTTTCGGGACCTTATCTTTCCTCTTTGCCTCGCCTTTGTCCTCGGAGCTGCGGGAGGTGGCCGATCGGAGCCGCCCTAATCCCCCCCTCCAGCCTCTCCCCGGGCTCAGCCGGCTGCCCTCCCCCCTGGGTCCCGTCCCGCCCCGGGGGGCGAGGGCCCCTGGAGAGGGAGGGGCTGGAACAGGTGAAGGAAGCGCCGGCTCCGCCCCCTGCAGGTGACCCAACTGTTTATTCCCAGCCGAAACCTCCAAACGCTGGGGTTTCCCAAAGGTTTTCTCAGAAGAGCGTGCAAGGGAATGTGGGGGGGTCCCCACTAGCTCACTGGTCTCATTCCTCCTCCCCCAGGAAGGGGACTTTGCGTCAGGGGCTGTGTCTGAGTCCCTCCCCTCCCCCCCATGAACTCTCATTATTCACCCGCCTTTCTCATGGAAGGTTCTAGAGGGTTTTCATAGACTGCTCTAGAAGACAGGTCCTGTTCCTAACTCAGGTTTTTCAAGTTAGGAAAGCTCAAAAAAGAAAAGCCGCCTTGTCCAGCCACCTCCAAGGTCCCACAACCAGTTCTAGGGGAGTTGAGCTCCCCCGGGTCTGCTGAATGGAAGCCTACTTTTCCTCCTTAGTAAAAATAACTTTTCCCTTTAAGGCGTGGGAAGGTTCATGAAGGCTCGTGTGAAGGCACCTGAGAGGGGACTCTCCCCTTAACTGACCCTGGGACCTCTTCCTCTGAGGCTGAAATTGGCCGCTGTTTCCCCTTCCTGCTCTGGTTCCCCCCTTTCCCTCCATTACTCTCCAGAGCTCCTGGTGTCTTGGTCTTTTCAAATATCTCTTTTCACTTGTCTTCACCTCCTCCTCCTTCCCTTTCTGGGCCTTGAGAGGGCTCTGGTAGCCCATCTAGGCCAGGTAGGTGCCGTCTTCTGCCTTTCCTCATCTATCTTCTTCCTTCCCCTCAAGCTCTTTTTGCCCCTCCACTGCCTCCGACAGGGCTGGGGAGAAAGGACTGCAGGTCTCCTCTAGTTAAGGAGGAAGTCCAGGCAGAGAAGTGGGGGGGGGGGGCAGATTAGGGATGCAGGCGAGGATAGAGATGCAAGGATGTGGACTCGGAAGGTTGAGGTGAGATGGGAACTGAATTTAGGGATGGGACCAAAGGCACGTACAGAGATGGGGGTGGTGTGCTGCACAGAGACACAGGCTGACGGAGGGAAACCTAAGGCTTGGTGACAGGCAGGGAGGTCGGGGCCCAGTCGGGCCTCAAGGCCTGCGGGATGGAGGCTGAGGGGATTGGTGGACATCGGAGGCACAGGGAGACGTCCCCGGGGCCAGCCTCCCCCACCCGGAATGCTGTTACATTTTTAATGTCTGGTGAGGCTGAGAAGTGGAGCAAGAGGGGGAGGAGAAGAAGAGGGGGCCCAGCCATAGCTCAGGCAGAGAGGACAGTTTTATCACAGACGAGCCTTAGAGACCCAGGTCAAAGACACAAGCCAGGACCCCAAGAGATGTTAACCAGAGAGCTGGAAAGGTTACAGTCCATCCAGATCCAGTGCAGAAAGCCAGAGTGCAGAGCCTGGGAGACCACATCCCCTAATGTCCATGACCTCAAGTGTCAGAAAAGGGGAGATGAACTGAGGGCAGCTGGGCTTGGATGAATGAAAACATACTGTCTTAGTTACTTAGTGATGATACACAGAGATAGCACAGAGGGTTGCCTTTCACACACAGAAATGTCCTCTCTGAGTTGAAGAGGCTCACTCACTGCCTCGTGTTGGAACCGACTCAAAGCAGATCCTCCAGTGGCCTTTCAGAGCCTGTAAATTGCACAGGAGGAGATTGCCCATCTTTCTCCATCGGAGTTCCTAATACAGTTTGCTTCTTTTGTCTTGTACCGATGAGGGAGTCAGAACTGACCTGTAGCTGGCCTCCAGCAGGTTTTCAGAGCGTGTAAATTTTAGGCTAGGCTATGGCCCGTCTTTCTCTCCTGCAGAGCAGTTAGTGGATTTGAACCATGTACCATTGTGTTGGCAGCACAAGTCCGCTTTTTGGAGGTTAAAGGGTCAGGAGCTCTAGGGGAAAGCACTCTTTGTCTTCTCAGGTAAGGTCCTTATCTCCTTTGAGTGTCTGTGGGCTGTGTGTTTACTTAAAAATAGAAAAGGTGATAACAGGCCAAACCCCAGGGCAACACCTTTTATCGAAAATGAGTTATGGACAAGTTGTAGCCTGAGGAAGGGCATTCGTATTCCACCATATTCTCTTCACATCACATCTGAGCATCTAGGGATGGTGACCTCTTTATAAATGCCAAGTTACATCTTCGCACAACTGCTGGACCTGGGCCTGGCCAAGCTGACACATCTTTTTGGGAAATATGATTTAGTCCACAAACTCACTGCTCTTAGTTGTGTCTGACTCATTGCAGTCCTCTGTCGGGTTTCTGCAGCTGTAAATTATTAAGGGAGAAGATTACCTTCCTTTCTTCTGTGGAGCACTTTGGGATTTGAACTGCCGACCAGCAGCAGAATATGTTACGCATTATGCTGCCAGGCTTCTAAAATTGTCGGTGACGTCGCTAGAAAGCTGCAGACGTGCCCTGATGGGTGTGAGCAGCGATCCCAAAGGCAGCACTTCTCCAGAGGTTCAAACCCACCACCCAATCCCCTGGAGAAAGATGGGTAGTCTTCTCCCGTGTGATTTACAGCCCCCCGAAAACCTGCTGGCGGGTCAGCCATGAGCTCTTTGAGTTTGAGTGCTGTAGAGGGTCATTGAAAGAGCGGAAGACCTTCGGCAAGATAGATTATGGCCCAGTAATGGGCTTAAACACCGGAGAGGCTGTGAGCATGGTGTCAGATCCGGCTGGCTTGTTCTGTTGTACACAGGAGTCAATCGGATTTGGATAGTCTCCACCTAACAGCAACAAAGCTGTTGGAACACTTTAACGCAAATGACGGCAAATGTGTTTCTAAGCACGGTCGTCAATTTTCAAAGTGTGCGGCAACCAGTTAAAAAGAGAGACAGAACGTAGGAGAGACACAGTGTGGGGTCCGTGGAAGGTAGAGAGACCCTAAGACTTAGGAGGTAAGAGACGCTGAGAGACAAAGGGAAAGAAAACATCCCAAAACAAAAACAAGCCCACACCCAGTGCCACCACATGGGATTTCTTGACTTGTGATCTTCATGGGCATAGGTTGCCAGGCCTTTCTTGTGTGTTACCATGGGTGAGTTCTGACCACCACTGATGGTCATATGCCAGCTGTTTACTCCACCTGGAGGATGGGTGTTCTAGGAGTCAGAGAAAGGGGCAGGCTCCTGGACCGTGACACAGATTAAGGCTTGAAATTGCTGAGGGCCAGAGATCCTGCAGATTCACCCCAGATGGGTTGGAGCCCCACAGAGGAAGGGGAACCGCAGCCTGTTCCCAATTGGTGGGGCTGGTAACTGTGTCAGCAGGACCTCCTGGGGAAGCCAGGCCGGAGAGTCTGAGCCCCAGGCCAGACAGACAGCCAGACCGTCCTGCATCCTGGCTGCACACCCCCCAAACCGGCTCCTGCATTTCCGCTGCGGGGGTGGACCCTGTGATGAATGCAATTAATTAATTAACGAGGTGGCTGAGGCAGCAGCTGGGGCCAGGGCTCAAAGCGGTGCAGCTTCAAGGGCCTGCTGGGGTCTGGCCACGCCATGCGGTGAGAGGGAGGTCACCAGGTTTTATAGGTTGGGGGGTGGTTACCTAAACCCTGAGGATGTGAACCAGGTTGTGGGGGGGCACACCTTCAGGGCCCAGGCCCCAGTCCTTCCTCCTCAGGTTCTAGGTACAGACAGCAAAGTACCTTTCTCAGACCCAGAGCTCCCAAGTCCCCTCCCCCTATCTTCAACCCAGAATCTCAGCTCCTTCCTCCCTCAGACCTAAAGAGTCCAGCCCCTGGGCCCCTCTGTTCTCTTTTCT